GGAGGGAGAGGGATTTTTCACCTCACCTTTTTCCTCCGTCACGACACCCCCCTCCCCTTCGGGCAGCTTCCAACCCACTCTTCACTTGCCGCACTACCCCTCTCCCTCCCCTCTCCTTCGAACGTCTTTTTGCACCCCTCCGCCGCTCGTCACTACAAACAATGGCCCGCTACCCCCGCCCTCCCGGTCGCTTCACTACACCCCCACTTGAAGGCTCCTGGGGGGGGAGGGGCGACAGGGGGTTTCAAGTAGATTTTTTTACAGTAAAATAACTGCTACCTAAGCCCCTGGAAAGGGGGGGGGGGGAAGCCAAAGACCTCTTGGCCCTTTCTCCTGGATCCGCTAGTGGTGAGGAGGGGCGGAGTAACAAAGACTCCTCGCTCCCCTCTCCCGCGGATCGACCAGTGTTTAACTCTATCCTTCATCGAGGGAATTTGCATGGAAATCGAAGAGGTACATATATTTCAGCCGAAGCGCCGTTAAAATCAGACCTAAGCAGAACTGATTAGTAGAAAATGAATCCATAATTTTCAGAGACTAAATTTAAAAATTCTAGTATTGAAAGGACAATTTTTTGGCAAGAGGACATCATTTTGGTCGTGAGGCTTGAAGACTGAGTTACGGCTGTTATTTGCTAGTATCTGAAAGTGTTACTCTGCTATTTGGCTTTCTAATTCCACCCCATGTTAAAAATGTTATTATATTTACCAACTGTTCGTACTAGCTGCAGTATTTCCTGCAACCATGCGCGACATCCGTGTATCTAATACTTATTTTAAATCATCATTAACCATAAGTGCGAATTTTTGTGTATAAATCTAAAAATAGAATTCGGCCAGAAACTCTGCGTTCGTTGACAAATGAACCTGTCTTTACCACACATATAAGGGTTCAGAGATTAGTGTCCTAGTGTCTTATGTACGCTGAGTGAGAGAGTACTGTCTGCATCACTGGCCACTGTTAGTCGAGAATCCATTTACTGTTACATTCTCGATTAGGTTCAGCCCGGGTGACAGCTGCACCAAGCAAACATAGCGGTATGACGGGCATGTCTACTACCAGCTG